CCCGCTGAACGGTCGTCTCCACGATCGCTTGTACTTGCTCTGTCGAGACTCCCCCGGTTCTTTCTCTTTTGTTCCAAAGTTCCTCTATGGTCTTTTTGCAGTGGGTCACGTTCCTCCGCAGGTCTTGTATCGCTCCGTTGCTGCTCGCCCCTCCACCTTTGGGCTGGGACGTGCTCCTCGACTCCTGATCCCCGACCCTTTGGAGTTCCGGCCACTTCTTGCGATTGCCTGGATCAGTGAATATCCCTTCCATAGAAGTTCTTCGCTTGCTCTTTTTTCGCTTGACCTTTTGCGGGCGCCGCTTGGATGTAGTCATATCTCGAGACGCGCTTCTCCCACAGCTGGCGGACCGGCTGCGCGAGCGGGTGCGCGAGTCTGACACGCTCCGTCCCGACTCTCTCGAAAGCCACCGCACGTGCTGCGCGCCGTCGCGACGTCTCCCCCGACTCCGTCTAGGCTCCCTGCTTTTAGTCTCCTTGTAGAACTTCTCCGGGCAGTGTCTGTCGTAGGTCTTGTGGGCCCCCCCGCACAAGGCACACTTCGGCACACACTCATGGTCCTCACCGACCTCAGTGGCCCTGCACGCCGAGCACGCAAATCCTTCCGGCTTGCTGCATACGTCGGTCCGATGGCCCACTTCACCACAGTTCAGACAAGCCGCCCTAGTCTTCTTATAGATAAAGCAGGGAGTCTCAAGCCAATTGAAGCTCACCGTGAACGGTACCTTCTTCCCCGCAAATACGATTACCGCAGACTGTGACTTCCCTAGCCTCCTTGCTTCTAGAACTTCGTATCCCACAGCTCTGGTTTTCTGTCGAATCTGTTCGTTAGTCAGGTCAAGCCGGACACCGTGTATGACGCCGCGACACGCATCTTCGCTCGGGGAGACATGATACGCTTCGACGTCTAGCACGCCGACAGGAAAATTCAGTTTCTTGATACCTGCGACGGCTTCCGCTTCGCTCCATTCGTCCGTACAAACCATGATTGTGTTCTGTGCTTCCAGCAGCCTTACGACCGTCTTCTCGTCCAATCCTCTCGGCAGGGAGCTCTGGAGCACTTCCCCGATCAGGCTCCTGTACCGCTTCAGGTCCACCGCGACCCGATGAGGTTTGATAATGACCTTGTGCTTGTAGACTCTGAGACTGGGCAACCTCAGAGTTTTCCTCGACTTGAAATTCTCCGCCGTTGTTCCCCCGGCTTCATCTCGAACTTGTTTCTCGAGGCCTTGTGTCTCCCTCTTGCTCTTTTTCTTCTGCATCAGTACTTGCACCCAGCCGTTGCCGGGTCCTCCGTCCTCCTGGTCCCCCAAGGTGGCATCCTTGATTCCATCATCCCGGAGTGGCCGCTGCGCCGGGTTGATAAATCCATGCGCCACCTCGTCTGGGTTATAGCCGATCACTCGACCGGTACCTGGAGTTTCTTGGGTCCTTGTATCCATCCTCCAGCCTTCAGCCCCCACCAGGACGGCGACCGCCACGCGATAGGCCTAGCTAGGCGGCCGCTCCGAGAAGCTCGGTGCGGCGCGCCCTGCGGCGCGAAGCCTAACGAGTGTTAACAGGCCCTCCGTGGGCCAGAATCGTGACAATGTCCTTGAAATGAGAAAGATTCGGCTCACCGGCATGAAAGTGGTATCGAGCGAAACCGGAACGTTAGCTCTGTCTTCTAAAACACTTTTCACCGCACAGAAAAGGAATTTTCCAAGAAAAAGGACGATTTTCTGCGGAGCCCATAGAACATGCGTCCGCTCTCAGCACGTGCGTGCACGCGCTCTCCATACAGCCTAGAACTTGGTCTGTCTCAATGGGCGACGAGTCTCCCAGCTGTATATGAGAAATTTAGCCAGTGCGGTACAACCGCTAGCCTGGGGTCTTGAACGTGCATCACGCAGTAGTGATACACGACCGCACGCCGGTACGATGCTCATCCAGATCGAAACGGGCAGGGGTGGTGCTCGAACCCAGGATCCCTGGGTTCTGCAGCGATCGCTCCACGTGCTCCGAGCAGGTGTGCGCTAGACCACTCGGCCACCGATCCCCCCCGTTCATAGGCCAGTAACTTGGCATTTGTCACCTGGGCGATGAGAGCTGGAAACGTGCATGGACGCTTTGCGCACGCGCCAGATTACATACGGCGTTGCTGACCTCCTCTTGTTTTACCGATATAACAAGCCAGTGAAGTTGGCTTTGACGAGCCTCTACAAAGGCCAATGCTGGGGGAGAGGGACGCGGTAGAATCTATAATAAATGGCAATAACCTGTCCTGCTGCGGTAACGATGGAGCGAACTGATCAAAATTAGAGGAAACAAAAGCTGAAGGTCGGATGGCGGCGCTCGTGCAGAATAGCAGCAGAGACTCTGCATTTTCTGTTTCACGTTGAGTCCGATCGCCGCCTATGCTACGATCCGATGCAGCCAATCAGGAAGCGTCAAAAGTGCATCGTCCCGGCGTTCGTCGTCTTTGTGCGTCTGCTACCACCGGCTGGACCAATCAGGCGCGGTGAATGCACCGCGATCCTGCGCATCTTTTTTTCTGCGCGTGATTGGTTCAGTTAGTGGTAGCAGACGCTCAAAGACAACGAGCGCTGGGACGATACAGTTTTGGCGCTTCCAATGCTAACCAATGCTACACATCGGAGTGTAGCATTGGCCGAGGTCGGACTCAATTTGAAACGGAGTATCGACAGACAATCTGTTTACAAACAAGCGAACGTTTATCCGTACGAGGTGTGGGCACAGCGCGTCCGCAGAAACCAGATTCGAACGGAGTGAAGCTCCTGCGCATGCGCCGTGAAGACGACAGTGCCACCACAAAGGCGTGTCGTCATAGCCGCGTATAGGGAGTAATCGCTGTCGGCCACGTCTGCGGGGCGCGGCAGCTGAGTGTGTGCTGACGGCGGGCTTCCACAGTTCGTTTGCAACATGCATTCCCCACCATCGAGACTACCGGTTTTAGCAGTCTATAATAATGCGAGCTCGTTCTGAACATGCGCTCTGAAGATCACCCTCAAATATGGCGTCCAGTGAATATACCAGTCAACTTTCCAAGGGAGAGGGGGCCGGTCAGGATGGTGACGACCGATGATGATATTCGCCCGATGCAAGTCCCTCGGGAAGTCGAATAAGAAAAAAACTAAAAGTTGTTCGATCCCGCTGGACACATTACGACGTGGTTGGTTTACGATGGCCAGTGGGGCCATGTTTTTTTTTTAAACAAAACGACAACAAGTCAACAGTAATTTACAGAACTTCCAAAATTAAAACCCATACTTCAGTCCCCCGTCTCAAGAGCGGACCCTGCATGATCTCAAAAGCCGAATCCCCGAGAATCCTCTCGGCACCCCTTTTATAGACTCGTAGGGGCCTCCTTTCCCTCCAGAGACGGACCAACCACTTCAATTTGCCCATTGTCACTTGGTACACTCTTACACAATGATCAGCGAGCTGTCAACGTGACTCCCCTCCGACACTCCAACGGTCAAACCCGAATTCTCTGTAGATTAACCACATGCTTTCTCAGCCGTCTGGCTGGCGCCACCAAGTTAAAGGGGCCCTGCAAGCACTTTTTTACTGGTTTTTAATTTGCACCGAACCTGAGCGCACTGAACGTAGTAACCTTTTCTTTTTCTCGAAATTCGCTTTACTTTAAAAGTTACAGGCGAAATAAGTTACAAAAACAAGCAAAAAATAACCTCCTTCATGACGTCCTTTGTTGCTTGAGAGTCCGTGAACTAGAGGAGGGGTAGTGAGCTATGCGAGCGCTCACGGCTGCCGCACTCCGTGTCGACGGCGCGAGAGGGCACCACAAAGGCATCTTCTGTATAGGCTGTATACAGCGGGCAGCCAGAGCGGCTCTCATTGCATTTGCTGCTCGAATAAACGCTAATTCTACATGACACTTCATCGGCCACAAACTACAGCAAACACGGGGTAAATATCAGTTCAGAATGGGAGCCACTTCGCGCTGCCGTACCGCAAAATGGCCAAACCGCATGACAAAGCTGCTCGCCGAAGGCCTTCGGAACGCTCAGAGCCGGTCGGATCCCCCAGTCCGTAAACGACCGCAGCGCCGCCGCGTACATCCAGGACCTTTCCGTGTCGGCACCAGATCCCATTACTCCTTTCTAGTATGCGCCGCCTTTTCCACCGCTTTGTGGCGGGTATGTCGACGAATCATTTCTTGTTTCAGTACTTTATAAACTGCATTTGTTTGTTTTTTTCTGATCTAAAATAGTAAACAAAAACTACTTTTATAAATAATTGAACCAGTTCGCGCCACTTATATTTTGTATTTCGACTAAAAAGAAGCTTTCAGCGGCACTGACCAGTAGTAAGCCCAGGACCTAAGACGTCACATATCGCGCGCTTTCGGTACCGCGGGTCGCCCCCGTCGGTGGAGGAGGTTTCCGCGTCGTCCGGTTAAAATATGACGCACTGATATTTAGTTACTTTCTCCGTGCCCGCTGACTTGCCCGAACCCCAAGAGACGTGGAAACCGCAAAAAAGGTAGACGCTTAAATATGACTGCAGGGCCCCTTCAAGTTATTGCGTCGACTAAATGCGAAGTTTTCTACACTAAGCGGCAAAATACGCCGGACACAAGCACACCCGCTCAAAAGCCACAAGTGCGGACAGAAGTCCAAGACAGGGGTGTTCCGGCGCCCCAACTGAAGCCCAATCCGTTTGTTAACGATCGGGGTCCGACTCTTCTCTACCGAGCCCCGCGGCTGCTCGAAGCCCCCCGCGCTTGAGAGAACAAGACGACTCCCCGTTCACGCTCTCACCCCCTGCTGCGGGTCTGCGAGCAAACGCCCAAAAATGTGGACACAAACATAGGCAGATAAAAAAAAAAAACGATGCCGACGCAACTGTAGAAAGAGAGACTTTTCTAAAACAAATCTTACTTTTTTCTAACAAAATCCTTCGTTACTTAACATACCCCCTATATGATGAGCAATAGTAAGTGTTGGTTTGGAAGCCGTGCTGTTCGAACAACCTCACCTTTCGGTACACCTTGAGACGCAGCGTTGCCCCACCTTCCAGGGTGTCCAGCTTTGCATCGTCCCAGAAGGACTCGCTCATGATTTTCCGATCGGGCACCAGGTGGCGCTGGAGGAGCTTCTTGAGGGCTTCAGAGTCCGTGGGCAGGAACACACGCTCGAAGGCATCGTCGGTGGGTGCGAAGACGGTGAAGCTTCCCTCGGAGAGCTCGGATGCCAGACCGGAGTCGGCCAGCAGGGACACGAACGTGGACAAGCGGTCCGACCGTTGGGCCATCAGGTCGACCAAACTGCGAGCTGCGCGGCAATGAGCAGTAGGCCTTTTTTTCTATATAATTCTTGAATGTCCATGTCCAATGGCGGGATGCACGCTTGCCATTTCCCATTCCCGAATAAGCCCCGAGGAAGCCTGGAATCGGAGTCACTCTGCTTATCTGCTAATACATCACGAGAAAGACACGGTGTTTCCTACATACATGATGACCGGTTTATCTGCGCTTCAAGCATGTTTACTTCATATATGCTTTGACCATGGCTACAGACAATATTTGACGAAAGGACCCTCATATACAAGGAAGAGACACGTTTCAAACAATGTCTGCCCTCTCTCCTTTATATTATGTAGCGACAGTGCGACCGCGGCTTTAAATGGCCATGTACGGCGTGTCACTGAAATAAAGTTTACAATGTTCCTTTTTTCAACGATTCTTTCATAGCTGCCACTTGTTGGACATTGTTTTTAATAACTGGTAAGAATGCTTCCAGTGTACAGGACAATGACACCGTATTTCAAGTTGTTATTTTAGTGTTAATGTTTTCATCTGACTCACCCTGGCACGCGCGAGTTCAACCAGCCCCCCCCCCCCCCCCCCCCCTGTTTAACTATACTTTGTCTTCGTGAATGTTGATCGGCGAATCTAGAGAGCATAGATTGAAGAGAGGGTCCAGCTTCTATGGCGGACGCCTCCCGCGGAGATTGGTCTCTAGTGCGCATGCGCTTCGTGTTCACGTGGCAAGGGGTAAAGCAGGAGGAAAGGCGAAAAAACCTGCCGGCGATCCACACTGCCGCTTCCTCGCAGCTGGTATTGCAAACAGAGACCGTAAACCACGTGAACCACGTAAACCACGTGAACCATGTAAACCACGTGAACAACTCCAGCGAAATTCGCAGCAATACAGCGACTAGAACAGAAAGCTGTGCCGGCAGGCTCGCTCGACAACCATCTCGTGCGAATTAGCGTGCCTACATGTCTGTCTGTCTCAGGGTGAAGACATCCGTTGTTGCACTGAATGTGCCAGCGCGTGACACTCTCGCGCACTCGGTGCGTGACTTGGGCGATAAAAAGGCGTCTATGCATTAGCCAAAGCTGCGCGCTCGAGCTGAGTAACACCGTATTGCGCGCACTTCAAAATGCATAAAAAAACGATTGGGCGTGAAAATGGCTTAGATGTCACCACTCAAGCAAAAGCGCGCGTGTGTACGAAGGCACTCTAGTGCGAATCAGAAATGCACAGCCCCTGGCGGTCTAAAGACGAAGCCATGAAAGTGGGTTGGAAAACGCGCATTGAAAATCGTCCATAGAGCGAGAGGTGGATCTTTGCTCTAGGGTTGGTGACACCAATTCAGTCAACGCTACGGAAGAGCACATACCTTTGTCGGTCATGAGGATGCCCGTAAGGACGGAGATGTGTCCGTTGCCTCCGAGCATCATCTCGCCGGTGAAGCGGTGCTCGTTCGCGTAGACGCCGCTGGCGTTGCAACTCAGCTCCAGCTTGTCCCCGCTCAGGCTCTTCACGCGGTGCTCAGCGATGATCGCCGGGGCACACAGCGATCGCGGCACGACGTGGTTGCGGATCAAGTCTGCGGCAGCAGAGAGTTGCGTCCGCAGGTTTGAAACAAGGGCAAGAATTGAATTGAAGTTTATCTGGATTTTCACGTGCCAAGCTTGGTAAGGGGTTACTGAAAAAGGACATTTTTACGTGACTGAGACCACTACATACTAAAGACGTATAATTAAAAAAAAAAAAAAAAAACACAGGTGAAAACATTTACTCACTCATGCGTGCGTACTAAAACATACACTTCTAAAAGAAAAAAATGACTCAGTAGTAAAGACAGAGTAAGAAATTATCAATATGTTTAGCGAAGGGGGTAGTAGTGAGCAGAGTAACAAGGTAACACTGTTCAGCGAACGGGCTGTTAAGTGACCAGGGTAAGAAGGATGCGCTGTTCAGCAAACTGGGTGTGATCAGTGACCCGAGTAAGAAAGGGCTACTCTGTTCAGCAAACGGATCAGCAGAGTAAAGAGGTCACTCTGTTCAGCAAACAGAGTATAATCAATGACCCCAGTAAGAAAATGTGACTCTGTTCAGCAAACGGATGAGCAGAGTAAAGAGGTCACTCCGTTCAGCAAACACGTTGTAATCAGTGACCCGAGTGAGAAATGGTTTTTCTGTTCAGCCAACAAGGTGTCATGAGTGGACAGGTAAACATGCCACCCTGGTAGGTCAGCACTAGAATAGTAATGACCTGTGGATTATCCTTCTCTTCCTTCATGGAATGTCATCCACGCATCGATTGGACGCAAGGCCCAGTCAAACACTTCCGCAGTATTCATGTTCGAGCTATGTTCGCACTTAATCTCACCGTGATGATGTCGAAATGCTGAAGCACAGGATTTGATTACCCAGGGCGGTGTTGGTTTGGTGCTGTTAACGTGCCATTCTAGGTCCTTTTTATTACCCGCGGTGACGTTGAGGTCCTGGCTGATCCTCTGCAGCTGTCCCGGTGGCATGGCCTGGAAGGCCTCGTCGGAGGGCGCCAGCAGCGTGAAAGGCCCCGGTTCTCGTCGCAGCTGGGCCACGAGGGCCTCGGAGCGGAGCATCATTCGAGCCATCTCCCGGAACCGGCCATCCTCCATCAGCAGCTGCGGAAGGCTCGCTGTGGACGCCGGGGACAGGATGCCTTCCAGCAGGTGCACGAGACCGTCGGTGGCCTCGTGGTCACGTCGCAGCACGGGCACGCAGTTCACCGTCGTGATCTGGGTGGACATAGAGATCCTAGATAAGAGCTTCCTACAAGTCGCTACATTCTTTGAAGCGCCGACTGCGTGACGGTGCAAGTTTTAGGAAGCGAATGGTGGTTAACAGCGGAAGACTGAACTGAATGACGCCGTTTTGTTTCAATGGAATTTGCTTCGTCATTTGCATTGGTTGTCGTTACTTGCAAAAAGAAGTATAAAGGGATTTTAGGTGGACATGGCTTCCGCGTGACGTCGTTTGATCACACTGGTTTGCGGCGAACAAGTGCGTCTACTTCCTGCTGAGGGAGTGTGGTGACGTCGGAGTGCACCGAGCTCGGATTGGAAGGATAGTGGTTAGACGCAAACTATACTTCGTTTCACCTGTCCAGAGCAGCCGACGCTGATTGCTGATGGGACCAATCAGAGAGCGTCAAAAGCGCACCATCATGGTGTTGGTCATGTTTCTGTACGTGTTTTATCATCGCTTAATTATTCATAAACAAAAAAAAAAAACCTAGTGACTTCTGCTTTTGAAGTTGCATGATTAGTCTCATTACCTCATAGCGTCGGCTGCGTCTAGCCTTAAGATGAAAGAAGTATAGACGAACTCAACTCACTGACGTCTCGCCACTGCGGTGACGCTGCTGTCGGCACTGCGCATGCGCAAACGCTACACTCCTCCCGAATTTGGTTTCTGCGCACGCGCAGTGCCTACACCTGGTGTGGGAAAAGCGGGCTTGCTTGGAAACACTGTGTTGGTGTATAGCTGCCCTTGTTTCTGCTTACCGTTCGAAGGCGTTCAATCGCCGCACGCCGGCGTTCAGCGTTCGCGTCTGACGCGAAGTTCGAACACTGTTTCTCGTTGAATTTTGAGATACGAGTAAAGGCACGTGAAAACGTACCGTGGGAGAAGAGAAGAACGTACCGCTCTCCTCTTCCGGATTACCTGTTGCGTATTTTTCCCGGTCGCTCTAATTTGTTCGAGGAGGCCCCCCAGCCTTCGCTCCTTTTAAGTCACCGTGGGTTCACGCTACCGATATGTTTCCGCCCCCCCCCCCCCTCACACACACACACACACTTTGATCGCACGCAGTCAGCATCGGGTACTACAAAGAGTGCACTATCACGATAAAAAGAACATTGAGTTTTCAAAACATACTTTTGCGATATTGGTGTTCAAAATTCATCTATGTGTTTTTAGCTTAAACCACAACAAAGGGTATAAATCGAAGTTTTTTGTCTCTGAACGCTCCTCAACTTCACGAGCGCAAGTTCAAGGGTGGAATTCGCTAAAGCTACACTCTGCCTCTTGTAGGCCTTGCTGCCTAGCTTGCAATCTGTTTCCTCTATCAACTTGTTTCGTGGTTAAAAATTTACCTGGCTTAGACATTCCGTCAAATGCAATGTAGGGGCGATAGCACTAATACGCAGTTCCTACCCTACCACGCATACACCATTTTATACTCGGAGGAAAGAGAGGAGAGTGTTAAAGCTCCACTTACCCCCCCCCCCCCCCCTCCAACTTCTCTTCGTACAGGGCTACACAATTGGTCGCGGCAACTATGTCGTCAAACCAACAGCTGCCGCACTTTACCATGGCCCTGCTGCGGTGAGACCACCTAACAAGGCCGGAGGGTTGAATTTTCGACGTCACCGCGTGCTTCGTCGGCGTCCCGCACGGCCTTGTGCTCTCACTGCCTGAACATGAGTCTCAACCGAACGCTGACACAGGACTCATGTCAAAATCGTGCCCCGCGATTGCCTCTTTAGACGACGTCGAAAATTAAGCACTTCGCCCGAGATTGTGAGACGCGGGACAATCTCCACCGCAAAGATCTTCACTCTTTCCACCTTCCACGAGAAAGAGCGAGTGGACTCGTCTCCTCTTCACCGTTCGCTCTGCCAAAGTGGAAAAGGAGTTTTGTGGGAGGAGCACCTGCTGCTTTAACCTGCAACACGGCATAGGGGGCGTTGCACAGGAGCAAGAGAGGTTCGTGCTCCCATAAAAAGCTATCGTTTTGGGAGAACTGCGAATCACCCCGTTGGAGTATCGGTTCACGTGGAGGAATCCCCCCTGCATGTTTGGCAGCTGCGGCTCGACTTCGTGGATTTTGGCTCGTCCCCGGACGACGTGCTGCAGAAGGTTGTCCTCCAGATGGGCCTCGAACGCTTCTTTCTCTCGTGGAGTGAGAGCCTAGAAGAAGAAAAGAAATCGATTGACCATGCTAACAGACCGATTCGATCCCCAGAATGCCCGACGGACGATGCAGAACGGTGCCGTTTTATAGTCCACACCGTGTGTATATTCTACACCCGGTGCATGCTCCAGGCTTAAAGAATTCTCGTACACAGCAAATTTCGAAAGATGCCTGCTGTAATAACGCACAAAAGAGCATGTTCCATACAGAAATCATCGGTAACATAATCTGTGCTTTACAATATCCGCCAGTCTTGTCATGAGGAGCGATCTTGAAAAACAAATCCTCGTATATTTGGCACCTCGAGGCTGTCCGGACGCACCGCGTAATATTTCAACTCTTGAACATGTATAAACCTGCCCAGCGCTTAGCACCCAAGCGAAAAATGCCGAGTCACTATAGGCTGTGGGCGCATGCGCGACATGTCACATTTTGTAAAAGATAGTTTTGGAAGACGTTCAGAGCGCACGCTCAGAACGTCTTCCACAACCCAGTAGAAAAAGATGGCAGCTCGCTGAAGGCGATCATTGGGAAGGTCTATAGTCGGCGTAGTCCGAAGAGCACGCTACCAACTACCATAGCCTCCTATATACTGATAAAGTCTGGCAGATCCCTATAGAAAAAAATCAAAAAACATTTGGCGCCTATATGAAAGTAAACGGGTTCATACCATTAACAGCCTAGCCATACCGGCCACCAGTTTGTCAAAGGGGTCGCCCGTATTGCTCAAAGGGGTCCCCCGTATGAGCCACCACGGTCACCTAGTTGGACAAACAGGTCACTCCTTTGGCTAACGGGTCGCTCGTCTGGGCAAATGGGCGACTCGTTTGGGCAAATTTGTCGCACGTTTGCTCAAACCGGTGACCATGTTGCACAGACGGGTGACCGGTGACCGGCAAACTGTACCGGTTTAATAAAACGGCTCTCCGGAGCCCGTTTGATATTGAACGTACAGATCTGCGGCAAGGGTACGCCTGTTTCAGCCGTGGCAGCCAATGTTTCCGGAAGGCCGGGAGTGCCGATTCATCGATTTCAAATCGTCCGCGTAATGCAAGCATTTATATATTAATATAAATATACATATATTAAATATATATATATTAAATATATAGAGTGTCCGTATAAGCGCTGATGCTTGCTTATACTGACACTAAAACTGTCACTTTTTACGTAAACGGTCGACGTTGATGAGCCGATATTTTTGACAGAACTTTAAAACTTTTTCCATCTTTGTTGCCTCAATTTACTTATTCAGCTCGAATCTCTCGCAGAAGACGCGGCCGCGTGAAAGAATATACTTCTGGACTCCGTTTCACTTCAATTCAAGACGCAGCGAAGGTAGCGCTCGAACACGCGGCTGCAAGAACATCGTGCATTGCGAGAGCACGCCCGCCGTTGCAGCAGTCAAACTGCTAGCTCGCGCCGAGTCCTTTCTTCGCTCGGGCGCGGACCGAGCTTCTGGCCGGCGCCATTTTTAGCGTTCGAGCGTGTTCAAATGTGCGCGATTCGCAGGCCTGCTTTCCGAGGCTACAAACACGTGGTACTGGAATCCCTGAGGAGAGGGTACGGGGCTGTCCCAATGTCGTGCGCCTTCCTCGCGCCCCCCTCCCTTCTCTCTCGTCACCTCTGTAACGCGACCCGAGGGAGGGTAGGGCACCAGCAGCGCGCGAGATACACCCGTATAAGCATTGGGCGCGTTCAGTAACGGCTCCCTCAGCTCCGAACGGAGCAACTCCAGTCGCAGTCCTCGAAGCGAACGGCAAAAAAAAAAAAAAAAAAAAAAAGAACCGCGGCTTGAAACTTGCTTTTTTCCCTGTGCCAGACGGTCTCCGAATAAACTGGAAGCAGACGATGGCGAGCACGATCGCTTTTATTTGACGCCGATATTGAGCAAGTCTTGACAAGGTCGTTGAAGAAAAAGCGAGTGACTGTATGTACACATCAGCGCTGATGTTCGAAGCGATCCCACGCGATCGAGCCCTTCGCAGGGCGGTGCAAAGGCTGCTTCTGTATAAAAACCGACAAAAACGTCGTCAGCACATGCAAAATATAGAGCTCGGCGAATCTATACGCCGCCGTTTGCGATACCTTAATACGGCCATAAGTTTGTTCTGCCCTACGTAACGAACTTCCTATAAAATGTGTTCGTATACACACGGGAAGTTCGGCCGCGCTCGGCGATCAAGGTTTTGTCGGCCGAAGCGAGCCTCAGCCAACGTGCACCCCGATTTAGCTACGCAAACAAAACATCAATCGGGATCACGCTTTGCGTGAGTGTCCAACCGGCTTCCAAAGACGCGTTCCTACCCTGCTTTGCTCTGTTCAGCGCGGACAGGACTATCGTCGATATTACCGAGTTTCCGTGAATCGGCGATCAAGACACGGCGTCAAATGAACGTTTACGTTGTTTATAAGCATATTCATACCGAACGAAATACGGCCCAATGCATTTTCCGAAAAGAGCCTTACCTCGAAAAGAAATTCGAACGTGTTATTCGTCTTACCTTGATCACAAACGGCACACCCACGACAGGACTGACGCAGCTTATTCCGCCATTTCGTTTTTTTTTTTTTTTTTTTGTTTGTTTTTTTTTTTTTTTAGCGCCGGAAATCGTCCCCAATCAGGAAATGACGTCATCTTTAGCTCCTTTGAGTTTACGTGCACCGTCTCCGAGCTCGGTGCTTCGGAGCTTGACTCCGAAGCCCCGGAGTTAGGTGCACCGGAAGTGACTTTCGGCTGTCCAGTGGAAGGAGTCAGTGACAGCTTGATTCCGGGTCCGCTACTGAACGCGCCCAATGCCTCCGAGATCCGGAAGGGCGCGCCTGGCAGCCGGTTTTTTTTTTTTTGGTCTGCTTGTTGTCCGCTACAGTTCGAACTTCGTTCGTCCTGCCTGCTTCGATATGTCGCCTAACTCTGCGGTCTTATTTGAATGTCTCGACAACGTATTCGATGTACACCAAAGCTATCAGTGTTCGAAAAGTCCTATGCATATATCGACAACAAGCGATTCCTCAAAGAAGACGGGAACTCTTGCGGTTCGGTTGGGTTCGGCAAATGACAGCTTTTGCGCCGTATCCTGTTGAAACTTCCAAGGAACGTTCCCTCTCGTTTTTGTGTTTGTGTGGTTGTCCTGCTTTGACCGTGTCGACATATATCACGGATTACATCTTTTAAGTACGCTATTATTATGGTAAGTGCACTGCAACCTACTTCTTGGCAAGGATTAACCGTTCTTCTACGCGTACTCTTCCAGATTATGCAGCGCCTATTCTCACGGCAGCCGGGAGAATAATTTCCCCGAAAGTCTACCTTTATAGTCTAGAATCACCTCGGTTCGTGTTTGCTTTGCAATCTTCTCAGTTGTATAAAAGCTTAGAGTCTCTCCCACATTTCACAGATCGCTTGCACGTTTGTACTTGTCTACAGAATAGGACATAATAAATTTCTAGGAGAATTGAAAACAATCATTTGTGTCTCTTTCCCGGGCCATTTGCAAGCACCTCCGTGACCACATTTGTTCTACGTGTCTCGTCCATGTTATAAATAGGTTCATGAGTTTCGGGACGTCTTAAATAAGTTTTAAGATGACCAACCTTCCAGACGATACCCATTTAGGGCTCGCGAATAATTTGCCTATCCGAATGGCGCGTTCAAATGTGTGGTCACGTGCCAGGTCGAACGGGCACCCGTATCAAACGGGTATCGTTTCAAACGTGTACCCGTATCCCATAATCACGTTTAATCCACACGAATCGACAAATTCACCACCCATTTGATTCCAACGGGTCCACCAGTTTGCGATCCGTCGGAATTTCAAACTTTTTTTTTTTATTCAGTAGGGGTCGCCACGAGAAGCGGCCGCCGAAATGGAAAAGGTGGAGCGGCAGACAACGGATGAGAGGATAGCCACATGACTGGCGCCACGCGGCGGCGAGACGCCGAAACACATTTCTCCCGAGCGAACAAGCGTGTTCCGGGTCCTCGCCGCTGCAAAAGCTGTGCGCTGACGTTCAGGTTCCCCGAGAAATAGCTCGTTGATGCTCTGTGCTACCAGATCCTCGCGTTCCAGATCTCCGACCGGGCTCTCCATGGCTCCGTCGTCGAACTGCCAGGCTTTGTGAGTATAGAGGAGGCTATGCAACTACTACGCTCTGTTCACGTCCAAGCTGAACGTACGGTAGAAGCGTTCCTTGTATCAGCCATACGCCTACTATTCGCCGTGTGATCGCGCTGCTTCCCCATAGGCAGAGAGCAGGGTCAGGTGATAAAAAGGAGGCGGTTGACTGGTCGGCCAGCGCGTAGTTGTCACCGCACTGTCAGCTTAGGGGTGAACTGGGTATAGACGTCATTACAGTTGAAACATCTGGGTGAAGGACCAACAAAAAATTGCACGAAACTCAGAACTCGACGAAGTTCCATGGCGTTTTTTTTTCTGAGAGCACAGCTCTTAGCCGCCTGTTTCCGAGTTTCGCGGCGTCGACGTCGGCGTAACCGCACCGCTAAATTTAGAAGGAAATTCAATTGGTGTTGAGGTCACGTGACATCAATTTCCCCACTAAATTTAGCGGGGAAACTTTACCCACTAAATTTAGCGGGAAAATTTAACGAGAGGAGGAGCGGTAGAAGAGAAGGAGGGGGAGGGGCATGCCCTCCCCTCCGTAACCTCCCCTCGTCCTCCTCAGGAGCTGCGCTCTTTTTTTGTATTACAGAGATTTGTAAACATCTTTCATGTTTTTTTAACGAACCAGGCGTGGGAAGTTCTGTAAATAAATTGCAAATATGCTCTTCAAAAGCAGACTAGCAGTCCTACTGCCAGACCAGTAGGGCAGCTAACCTGATGTCTTTAACATACATCACGCAGTAGTGATAAAACATTGATTCAGACTGAAAAGAGCAGAGGCGGGAAACCGAGCCTAAGTAAGCGAGCTTCCGCTCTTTGTTGTGGTCCAAGCTGCGCGTATCCCCTGTGGGAAGCGGCACTGAAATTACGCTTTGATAATTTCTGAACAGACCGCGAGAGAATCGGGGTAGTTAAATTTTTAGTCACTTATCTAAAATGATGCAGCCGGAGTAAGAGTGTTGCCAAAGTTCTAAAAAAAGTAAAATGCGACCACGTTGCAGAAATGACAGCTAAAGTACGTTCCTCGCGCCCACTATACTCACAGAAACAAACAAACTTGTCGTTCGTTCGTTACCGAAAAGCCTAACGTGTGGCGTAATGGGTTCGCCTAATGCCCGCGTCCCACTAGAGCGACAGACAGAAACAAACGACAGCGACAAGCCTCAAACCAGAGTCTTTCGCGATTTGAGAAGCTTTGTAGAACAAAAGAGGCCATGCTCAAAACACGAGAATCACGCACGCGAGGGTTTCTTTGGCAGGCTTGCAACCGCTCGTGTTTACTTCACGAGCACCGAACGACTAAACGGCTGCCAAAGGTACCATCGCGAGAATGCCGCATGGGTTGGAAGCTTGTCGCTGTCTTTTGTTTCTGTCTGTCGCTCTAGTGGGACACGAGCATTAACGCGTCACGCGTACACGGTCTTGCTCGAATGTTGATGAAAAGGTTCATCCATTAAAGACGTCCCAGCCATGCCGAGGTTCCACGCAAAAGCTCTCGGCACTACGGGCGACGCAGCTGGACCGAGAGGCTAAATCAACTTGGCAGCTGGCCAACTCTTCGGCAGCTGCCGTTTTCAATTCGCTTTTCCGACAGCTCTTTTGACACCCAAGGTTGTTAGGAGTTGATTTCAGTCTTGAAAAAGTTTCGCGGTCGCTTTATTCGGATGTATCTACCAGAAGTGCGGCGTCCCTCGGCGCAAACAGGGTGACCACGGGACCAAGCTGCCCTTCCAGCCCGCTCTGCTGCAGGTAGTCGGCGAATATGGACGCGCCCAGCTGGCGGCTCAGCCGAGTCACGTTGGACAGCGTCATCACTGGGGTTGTAAATAACGTTGTACACAGTCAAAATGCACCTATCCACAATATTCACATTTCAGCTTTCGCGTGCGCGTCGCCCATTGGGCTGTTCAAACAGAACACCGCTTCTAAATAAAACGTGTACTTTGCGGGGCACGCGCGCGTTTTCCGTGAGGAGAATAATCGCGTCAACATGATGGCTATCCTCCTCCCTTCCTGGCTGCGGTCTTTTTTGCCTTTATTGTTTTTGGGAAATTAGGGACTGACAACCACAGCGGAGGCCATGACGACAGCCAGCAGAGCGTGGGGGTGGCTGTCCGGACTTCCTCACAGCAGGCGCTGTGAGTGAATCCGAGCAGGCTTTAAAGGGGTTGTCCGGTCAATTTTTGTATTCGAGAAAACAATTGCACATCATTGTTATTTCCTTGAGACGCATCGTACGTGCAATATCTGAATTTTATACGCCCCCCTGCGTGAGTAATTGAATTTATACTGCTCCAATCGCACTCTAGCGTAGACGGTGTTTTCGGTGGCCACATGGGAGCTCTGACGTCACACAACACAAAGCGAGCATTTGTGTCTCGTCGTTTACCTGCGAGTGAACGCCTCAGCGTGCTTCGTTTCTGTTGTTGTGCTCGACTTGTTTCGTGGTTGGATGAGATTTTTGTTGTGCGGTTGGGTGCCACAACCACCGGGCAGCACATGCAAGCCAAAACATTACGTTCCACACTTTACCGCAAGACGTGCAGTGACGAGCAAAATGGATCGTCGCCGTCCGTAGGGACTGGGTTCCCGTCAAAATCGAGATCCCGCTTATGCAGCAGTCATTTCGCAGAAGAGAGCTGCGAGCTGAGCTCTGAGTGGACAGAAGGCTCGTATGCTGAGTTGTGATGCTGTGCCAACGATATTAAACTACGTCCATTCACTCTTCGTTCAAATCGGATCAATCGATTTGTTTATGCAGCGAAACCGGATCCAACAGTTACACCACCTGGGCCCGTTTGCTCGAAGCACTAACCGCGGCTAAAGTTAGCCGCAGTACCTAGGAGAGGGATTTTGATATCACGTGACTGGCTCGGTAGGGATGCGGGGAAACGTGGCGGTGCCCCATTGAGTGAGCGCCGCTCGCTTTGGAACTAATATGTCGTTGTACCTGCAATATCGGGCGCGTTAGTCAGCAACAAATGGTGCAGGAGGCTTTCGCTTTGCCCTATTTCACTTAAACCGCAAAACATGGGCAATGACATCGCCGCATTTTTTAGATAGTGTTTCGATTCTGGGCACTCCTAAGCCTAAATGAACGCGATAAGTGTCGGCATAGCAACGTCTTTGGAAAGCGGATTGTTGATAGCACACAAAAGCAGACGGCGTCCCAACAGACCGTTTCTCTAAAGTATTCTAGCACCGAGGTGCATGCTACATAGGACTGTAGTTGCAGGCGTCGCACGTGCTGGCGTCTGCAGTAGTAACCGTTCCTAAGCAAAAAGTATAAAACAAATTTTGCCTTGCACGCGCGTTCGTTAAAGCCTTAGTATGATTTTTTACCTGAAATCTTTTATAAGAGGAAGGCCAGCGCGCGTGAACCGTAGAATTACACTTCCAGCGTTCTCCTCGCGATGCTTGGATAATTTAGAAAAAAGTCTGTCGGGACGCTGTCCGCTTTTGTGTGCTATCAACAATCCGCTTTCCAAAGACGTTGCCATGCCGACAACTATCGCGTTCATTTAGGCTTAGGAGTGCCCAGAATCGAAACACTATCTAAAAAAAGCGGCGATGTCATTGCCCATGCTTTGCGTTTTAAGTGAGGTAAGGCAAAGCGAAAGCCTCCTGCATTATTCATTGCTGACTAACGCGCCCGATATTGCAGCTACAACGACATATTAGTTCCAAAGCGACCGGCGCTCACTCAATGGGGCACCGCCATGTTTCCCCGCATCCCTACCGAGCCAGTCACGTGATATCAAAATCCCTCTCCTAGGTACTGCGGCTAACTTTAGCCGCGGTTAGCGCTTCGAGCAAACGGGCCCTGGAAACGATACCAGAAGTTGTATTTAGCACCCGTGCATCCAAAGTCTGTTTGACCCGCATATGTAAACAGAGCGTGGCTACGATTCACCAAGCGCCTCCAAGTCAAGTGACGCATTTGAACGATTCGCCGGTTGCCTTGGACCCGCGGTCATCGCCTCTGAGGGAAAGACCCGCAGCCTCATCACCCATTCAGTGGATCCGCCGATATCTGTACCTAGATACCGCTTCGTGTACCCAGTTGCCGCTTCAGAGGCGAAATCTGCATCCTTTGCTTCGCAAGCGCCCCTAGTTCGATCGGTGGCCGTCGCAGTTGTGTTTGCGCGAAACGGCATGTTTGCTCGAAGCTTATGGCTGTTTTCGAGTCATATACTGCTAAAAGGCGTGACTTTTTTGCACATGCATGGGAATTGCACTAAAAGGACCGCATTTCAGTACTGTACAGCCTAAGACAGTGGTTCTCAACCATTGATGTTTCGCGGACCCCTTGTGGATCGGCGGAGATGATGGAGGACCCCGTTCGTGGTGAGAGGAGAGAAAAGGTGTAGGTTAAATATAATAATTATTTAATAAATGGATATAACTAAGACTAGTGTGAAGTAGACCTCTCTTATTGACGTCCACACGAAAGAACTCGCCCGAAAACTAAAGCATTTATTTTCGACCTGAAAAAAAAAAAAAAAGAAAAAAAGACAGCTTTTATTGCCGTGCTTGACTGATGAGGCAGGGCTTCGCGGACCCCCATTTGAGAACCACTGGCCTAGGAGACTATATAAATCGAAACAAAATACAAGACATCCATCAACCAACGCTTGTTATCCCGACCATCCGACAAACCCTTGCGTTTTGTGACGTCACGCAGCAGCTATGGATGTCAGCCATTGACACTGGCGAAATTCGGGGTGCCGTTTCGTACATACGCTCATAAAAGGTTTCGTTAATAACGGGAGATCATATATCAAAATAAAAATGTTGTTTGTCTACATGAAGGCTCCCTCGACGTAACGAGTGCAAAAATTTAAGTACTTCCGGTTTCGACCGGACAATTCCTTTAAGCCTGTGTCCAAGGAGGGAAGCGGAGGATAGTTTTTCCTCCGTCAAGGAGCACGCCCCAAAGCGGACGGGAGCTGGAGGGAACCCTCTATTTCCGGTACAGCAAGTGCTGTGACTGCAGAAAACGTGTTCTGATTGGACAGCCCTTATTTTTTGGGGAAGAAAGTGGTATGGGAAAGTTTTCATTAGCTTCAATGTACGATATCGCTTACACGCGAAAAGTAGCTGCAATAAGGTATTTTCGCCACCTACCAGTTATTTTGAATACCACTGTATATAAAGGTATTATTACATTTTTGACCCGCGTACTGCTCTTATTAAGTGCCGGTTTATTCTTAAAACCTTAACCGGGCGAGCCTTGGCATAGAAAATGATAAAACTCTGACGTATGCCGAAGCGAGAGTCACAAAGCAAAGTTATAATTTAATAGTCACCAGGAAAACTAACAAGACCTTTTCAGAATTTTGGTCGGTTTGCTTTGTTGGGGACCAATTAATACGCGGTTTTGACGTCATGCCGTTGCGGTAGCGCTGAGGTCGGCACGACGGAAGCGCAGACACTTCAACTTACGCGAATGTGGTTTCAATGCGTTCGCATGCCCCCCCCCCCCCTCCCCCCTAGCTTGCGTGGGCGAACACGGCCTTGCTTGTAATGCAAACAGCGCGTTAGCATGTAACGTAGGATAAATGATATTCCGAGTCACTGAGCTGCGGACGGACGTGCGGTGTAACAATAGACCTGGTGGAAGAAAGACGTACTGCACATGCACGCAACGCAATTCACATAGTGAACAAACATGGCGGCGCGCAGAAGGCCATTTTCAAAAGTGGACGCTATGTAGTATAGTTGATGCACTAATTACCCGAGTTCGGCATTGTTTGGTCACGTACCCAGAGCGTCTATTTGTCATTAGGGGCTGTGACAGCGTTCGGGGAGGACTCAGATCCAATAACGCTTATCGTGCCCAAGAAATGGCGACCACCATTGTTGCCCGATGAACTTTTGAAAAGGGTCTATTGGCGCAGTTTTGAAGCGAAACAGATTTGTATATATGGGGTATTCCAAGTAACCAGGCTCGATCTAAAATGGACCGTAAAATTCGACGCCTGCAACGGAGCAATCTAAAATTTTCGTCCATAGTGTATTTCACAGGGAGGATTTTCTTGTAAAATTACAAAGTGTAGCTCGCTTTTTGTACAAAATAGGGCCAAGAAACTTGCCAGGCTCAACGGCGGGCTGCGACGCAGACGACGAAGTCGAGTAGCGGGGCGGGCTTGGTGCTCGTATTCATAGATGGCGCTGCCTTCTTAACGAGGCTGCTCGCGACCACCATGGTTTATTTAAATGAACATAATTTTTTTTTCAATGTACCCTTGGTTCAAAAAATTAATGCGGACAATACAAGTAAAGCTTAAAGGAAAAAAAACGCGTTTGCATAAGACGGCGCTTTTGCTGCCAACGGATTTCGTCTGCGTGTCGTCTACTTTCTTTTGCTGGTCTGCCACACCTTCGGAGGCTGCTCCAAGCGCCATCTATCAATACGCGCGCCAAAGGCACCCCGCAACTCGACTTGGTTGTCTGCGTCGCCGCCAGCCTTTGAGCCTGGCAATTTTCTTGGGCCTATTTTTTACACAAAGAGAGCTACGCTTTGTAATTTTACAAGAAAAAACCGACCTGTGAAATGCACATTTGACGAAAAGTTTAGATTGCTACGTGCAGGCGTCGAATTTTACGGTTCATTTTAGATCAAGCCTGGTGACTTGGGACACCCAATACAATTGCTTATGCGGGCTTACCGGCAGTACATCCATGCTCCCCATGAACTTGACTGAAGCCTTCGCAGCATTCGTAGCGGATTAGTCTGTAAACAAATCAGCGCGTGTTTCAGTGGGAGTTGTTAGCCCGATGTCGAAGCGGGCGAAAACGCGAACAGGTGCGAAGTGAACGTCCACCAAGTTAAAGGGCACGGAACCTCGTGACCTTTCAATAGTGAATCGGTCTGTATCTGAAATGCATTCTATGGGAATGTGTTGACAGGTATGGCACGCACGTCTTGAATCCGCAGACTTTGCGGTGCATCCAGTACTTGCATTCAGTGTGGAGTTTCCAATCCAGCGCAGGAACTTCTTCAACAGCGCAGGTGTTGGGGCTGGAAGCGAAAGTGGCAGAGTATTTATTGACAGACAAGGAAATGCCATTCTTGAAGCCAGTTCTAGCAGGTCAGGTTGCACAGGTAAACAAACACGACTCGCTTCTAGTGAGAGTCATCGGCTGTGTTTATATTGCGTGTTCATACCTATAGTATAAACACAGCTGATAAACGGTGTTAATCCGACGTGTAAGGAGTTAAGATTTCCCACCCACTACTGCCATATCTGATAAGCTACTTGTGTATACAGATGATAACGACTTTACGCCCCGTTGAAGCTACACCCTGTGACGCGTCATGATGCTTCGTCTACCACTGTTACAGATTAGTTTTGGCAGTTATTAGAAGTAACGTCATTAGTTTTAATACGTGGCGTATTTAGAGGAATTGAGAGAAGTTCGCGGTAAGTTATGAGAGCGACTTATTTTTTCAATAACGTCGTTGCTTTCAATTATGGGGCCGCTGGCATTCTTCGCTCACCGTGTGATAAACGGAATTAACTTTACTAAGCCGACGGTGTATTGGCGCTTTTTTTATTCACTGGTCGGAAAAGCTTTGGATGGCGTATATTCATCGGTGATTTTCGGTAAATATCGAAAATTAGACACAATATGTGAAAGGTATTGCTTATACGTCACTGGCCATATGTTATTCGAAACATAACAACGTATCGACGGTAAGGTGGTTCCTGTAGATCCACAGTTATGAAAATCGAAGCTATGCGGAGCGCAAGTTCGTCTGCTTCTTTTGCAGGAGTCGTGGTGATGTCAGAACGCTAAGCTCTGATTGGCTCTGATTGAAGGATAGTGGGTAGACCTGAAAGCAGGCTGCCTTGAGCTCTACCCACTATCCTTCACTCAGAGCCAATCAGAGCTCGGAGTTCTGAGGTCACAACAACCCCTGCAAAAGAAGCAGACGAACTTGCACTCCGCATAGACGTCTGAAGTTTATACCAACACCAGGTAGAATAATCAAAGCCTGCGCACAAGGTTCGAGGCGACATCACGTTGAGATCTAGCGGAGACGCAGATTAGACATAAGTGCTGCGTCAGTGTCTGAGTTGGCGCCTTGCGGCTGCGATGACGTTCTATGAAAGAAGCGGAGGATGTTCGAAGGCCTCGATTATTATACGTGGTGTTTGTGATACAGGCTCCAATAATTAAGTACGGGGTCCGAAATGGCCTTCGGCAATTTCAACTTAAACCTGCAATCCACCATGTTTGTTCAAGAATAAAAAGAAATACTCACCCCTGCTTCTGCGCCATACGAAGGTGCCACCTGGGAATCCTCCGTCTAGCAGCCTGGCCTAGTTCAGCACATAGCAGGAAGCTGAAAGTACACAGGAGGCCCAGGAACAAGCAACGCTGCAGCATGGCCGCCCTCGGAGTCAACGAGCCCAGAGAGACCGAGACCGAGCTAGCACGGCGCCCCTAATGTAGCGGCCTTGTAGACACTCCCCCGCGCTTGTTGAATAATCGTAGATCCGGCTCTGCCCCTCGGACTCGGCGTTTGTCTTTCGTCTGGTTTGCGCGTTCATCTTGGTCTGCGTCTTTCGTCGCCTCTGGTGACATAGCCGCTCGGAAATGCCCCAGCGTGCCGCCGCACGCCACTGTCTGAATGAAGTCGTTTTGATGCTTCTGGAAGCCTTCTTGTAATTGAAGCATTCTCCTGGAGCGGTGTCAGTTTAGTTAAAATTTCCTACAAGTCACTCTTTCTTTGTCTGCTTGTTGACGTTCTTTTGAAACCTCCTTGCAGGGTGTCGAACCGGAACCGAACCGTTATTTTTAGCCGAACCGGAACTGAACCGAACCGAAATCTTCGCCGCCATCTTGGAACTGAACCGGAACCGAAGCGAAAAAAAAATGTAACGGTAACCGGTTCAAAACGGTTCAAGGTATTCTTTTTTCGTTTTTGTTAGTATCACAAAACGAACATATGGGAATATGAAATTGGCGGCTGTATTTCTATCTATTGTTCGAATTGTCACATACAGAATTGCAATGTATGGTAAACTGTGGGTTTTCGTGGCGCTTTTGTACTGGCACTATGATTAACCATGTGTCACGTTGTCACGTGACGTCATGGTGTCAATACATGCTGTCAAGTAGTGTCACGTGACCCTGTGACGTCACGTGACTCACTACGTCAAGTCGATTTAATTTGAGAAAGTCCCTAGATGTATTAACCTTGTTGACAGCGTGACGTAACATGATATCACGATTTTGCACCGAGTCACGTGACACCGTGACGTAAACAATTTTCATAGCCCCGAACCGAGTGCTCAAGTTCATGCCAATCAGCATCGCTGAACATTCGGGCAACGGCTTGTGTTCAATTAAAGATGATAATAGCCCAACTCTAACAATATCTGAAGCTCCAGCCCAAGCTTTTGCTTTCTAAACCCTAGCGCTTGACTATGATGAACACTGACGGTATATAATTAGCGTCAGATCACGTGGCTGCTTGTTCAAATTGCGAGTTGAGGAGGGGATCGACAGCTATTTGTTTCTTTATTTTCTTTTGCATCTGCTATTTTTTTTTTTTTTTTCGTTTCGCAAGCTATCAACGTCAGGGGTTACTTCTTAACAGTATTTATTGAAAGTACAAAAACAAATGTTGCACGACCAATTTTACATTATTGAAGCACTCAAAAATGTTTTCGTTATTGGGGAGGAGGAACGACCGTGACGCCCCAAGCGGTTAACTTTAGAACTACACGGATGGGGACAATAAATGCAATGACTCAGCGCTCGGCCGACATAACCGAACGCGGCGTCAGCGTTCGGCTGGAGTTCGTGTTCTCCGGTGAGGAAGAGGACAAGCACCACGGATTCTGGCCAAGCAACGGCCAATGTCTGGCGATGGTCTTTTGGCCAGTGGCCAGAGAGTGGCCATTCATTGGCCAATGCTTGGCCGATGGCTGATGGCCAGTGGCCATTGGCCAATGGCCAGATAAAGGCCAGTCACCGGCCAGTCTCTGGCCACTGTCTGGCCACTTGGCCAAGGACCACAGCCAGCCACTGGCCGATGACTGGCCAACTCTGTGCTGCTTGGGGGGGCTCGTTTGTTTCCACTCCGGCCTGCATGAACAATGCAGCATGGATGGTCCCAGCCCAGCACAAAAGCCGAAGTGGGCCCAGCTCGCATTCTTTGAGGATAGATCCGACACTTAACGTCGCTTCGTCGATTGTTAGTATTTTTTACATTAAACTGCGCCTTGCGCTTTAATGTAGAAGATGACATGGACATGCAAATAAGGCCTGTGTGCACGTGCAGAGGCCTTGTGTTGAGTAAACACCTAGGTGTGTGGAAACAAACGGGTAAGAACGCCCCCTATAGTTCGATCGCCTGCCCAATTTTTGAACTGTACAGAAAAAAATACTTGAAAGAAAAACAGAAAAAAAAATATTGACCTCAGAGGGAGAGCCGAACATTGGCAGTCGCTTTAAGGCTGTGTTCCAAATCTTACCCAAATGGATCCGAGTTACTCCCGCGGGTCATGTCACGTGACATCACAGATTGAAATGTGCTGGACGCGGCTAGGTTTTGGAACGCCAGAAAACAAAACCCTTACTCTGGAGTAAGATCATGTGAATTTTAAAACACGGCCTAAGTCTCACACGAGCGTCGTTCTCAAGGTTTCTACCACCTCTGTATTTTGCTTAAAGGAACAATACAAATATTTCTATACATTCACATAACGCTGCTTAAAATCACTTCCTAACGTTAATAACTAAATAAACTTGGCTTTGCTTTTTTTTTTTAGGCAATGGCAGTGGCGAAAAAATTAGAGAAATATGAGCATCGTTGATCCCCTCAACTCGGAGCCAGAAGCGGCCACGAGGCCTGGTACCTATCTGAGGCCGCCAACGTTAATCATGCCCCCTGGTGGGGTTGGAAAGGAAGAAAACGCCTGCTGGAGCTCCAGGCATTTTTAAAGTTCGGCTAATCTCATCACCGCAGTAGTTGGACACAAGCCACTGCCCGAGTGTCCGCCGAGGCATTGATTGTTACGAGCTGATGTACAGTGCTCACGCAGTTCTCGTGTCTCATCCATGAGCCGCGCTCGACTGTCGTCAGGCGGGTGGTTTCGATCCCCCAATTACGTCGTCAAGCTTTGCGAAGACAATACTGAAAGATATAGTTCCCTTTTATTCTCGTAATTCCACCGTGACAAGGGAACTTCTGAATCAGTGGCGGCCTGTGCGAGTATACTTGGGTCAGACTAGGACGAATACGCCTCTGAAAATTCATGAACATTCCAACCCGATATCATTTGATGACCGCTTTAAACTTCGCGGGGTGCAAAATAATACAAAAAAAAAAGCAATGGAGGGTTGCTGTTTACAAGTGACAAATAAAATTGTGGATTTAGCACACACAAACGGAGGAGGCAATTCCTCAGGAATACTTTCAGCCTTTCCACCTTGGTGAAGAAGGAACACCAGCGAAGCTGTACTATGGTGGGAATGAAGTAATGGGCCGGCCGCAAGTCGGCAAGCCAGAGTGCAAAGACTGGAGAGGTTGTCGCCATCAATGCGCGACGGCGGCAACCAGACAACCGGGACGCCGGTTGTCTGGTTGCCGCCGTCAATTATAGATGGCGGTAGCTGTCAAGAGTTTTGTGTCATTATTTGTTTGCTGACTGACATGATGGGAAACTGACCCTTAATAGCTCCGCTGTAAAAATCAGCGCGTGTGTGTGCGTGAGTGTGTGTGTGGGGGAGGGGGGTAGTTTTAAAAACATACTCTGTTGTAAAGAGGTTCCTCCTTCCCTCATCTTTGGCGGAGACCAAAAAGCGTGGGCCCGGAAACTACTTTGTTTGCAAAAACACTCTTGCCAAAAAGCACGTTTTTGTCTTGCCAGACGGTCGCGCAGTTCCTCGCGAAGATGCACTACGAATAATAATACGTGCCTTTCAAATACTTGGCTTTCACTGAGCTTGAACCTCCTGCAGCGTGCATTTTGCATCATCGAATTTGATTTTCTTAGCAAGAAGCCACAATGACTACTAGCATATAGTATGATGACGTCACGTGCATGCCATGCTAAACAGTTCAGCTTTCTGGTGAAATGTGATGTTCGCAACACTAGCAATAGATGTCCTACTTGCAAAGTTTTCCAGTATTTATTGCAGTCTCGCGATGATAGATGGCAGCCCAGCAAAATGTTAGAGCGCATGATTATTGAAGCACAGTGTTGTAAAGCGAGGGCCCAAAACAAGTGCAGGTAAAACCGAATGTAACATTAGCCTCGCGAGGTAGTGTTTTGCGAAGTTTAGAGCTCATGCAAGCTGATGAAATGAGATTTATATTAAGATTTTAAGAATTTCATCGGTCCTTCGCCCTATTCGTGCAAAATTATTAATTTCATTGCGTGCACCTTTACGCATCTCTTTTTGCGGTAAGGCGTTCTGTAAGAGATTATTTAGGAAAATACCATTATTTTCTCTTTTTTTAACATTTCGAGTATTTGCTTTTAGATCTGTCATTTGAACACAGAGTCCTTTTTAGCGTACCCTGCAACCCGGTGTTTCACACTGCCAATCAGCAAACAGAAAAACACTTTTACGCAGACTCAACAGCTCGCGTAGTTTCGAGTATCTTCCTTCCGTGTCGGTCTGAAGCGGTTATGTGAACTTTTAAGGTAATATTTATTGATCATAATAAAAATATATTGCATTGCTAACTGAATATTTGACAACATAAATAAATGGCCGACCACCCAAAAGCTATGCCCCCCAAAATTATTTGAACTGTGTTCTGCCAATCTTTTCCGGCGTTTTTATCTTCGACAGGCACGTTGAAGGTTATTTGGGACAGCTTTACATACATTTCTGATTTTAAAGCTAATTTAAACAACAATTTGTTCCTCACAAATATAACTTCTTAAACATATAGAAGCCTGTTATTGCCTCTTCTATATGGTAAACATTGCTTTAATGTGTCTCTGGGCTGGACAAAAACAAAATAAACAGGGGCGCGCGCGGCTGAACCATGACGATTACGCACGCAAACTGTCAGAAAATATACAATTAAGTAGCTGCCATGCCGAGAAAAACTTTAAATACTACTTCGTTTTACTTAATGAAGAAGGTACTTTGGAGGACGCTTAAGCTTCGGCTTTAAAATCGCCTCCTTACTTGCCGCGCAAGCGTGCCTCGGTTGCCTAGTCGGGAGTGTCTGACTCGCAACCGAAGGGTCGTGGGATCGAATCACTCCTAAAATTCTTTTTTTTTCTTTAAGGCAAAAAGAAATTATTAGAGACATACGGCGACCTGCAATTCACGTTACATGTCATGTTTTAATCACTTTCATTCCATGCGTGATGTCACGTTTCACGTGAGCATTGTGAGTTGTTTGAAATTCTTGAGCGAGGGCATGTAGCTCTGACGTCATGACCTTATCGACCATTCAGGATTTTCCAGTCACGTCACCGAAATCGGCTTTTCTGCGACATGAGCTTCTCAGTGCTATTGCGTTAAAATAATCAATTAGCAAGGGTGATACTCATTTGCAAATTA